GCCAAATCGGTTTTATGACAATAATTCTCTTGTTTATATTTTCTTTTGTCATGAACTAATTTCCCTTGCTAGTGCTACGATGTAGCCTAACCATGAATACTTAATTTTTATAGTTGTATTAATTTCTTATTACTATTCCATGTTGAGTATTTGTTACTGTTCTTAATGCTTTGAATATCTGGCCAATATTTAATTGATTTGATGATCCAAGCGGAGACCGAGAGGAGATGTTTGGTGTTTGCTTCTTGTAACAAATACCATGTCTTGAATGAGTGCCCGAGAGGGACTAACATGACTCATGCAGTTTTCTTGCAGGTTCTCATAGAACTTAATGGGTTCTTGATTTTCTAAATCTGTTGCTCGAGAGAGAATGGGTTGTTAATTAAGAATACTTTTGGTTGAGCCCGAGAGGGGATATCGAATGAATTAGGAGAAACCAACTGTCAACATGGATAGTAATTAGGGTTAATTGGCTATAAGAATTAAGTGGAATTGGTTATGGTGAAATCGGATGCTCTAGTGTCTCATCATCTTAATTTTCTATCATTAATTAAATTGCTATTTTTCATAATTGTTTTAGGTTACTTAAATCAATCAATCTTCTTAATCAATTGTTCAGATAAACTTTTGAATTAATCATAATTGGTAATTAATAGGAAATTACAGTCTTCGTGGGAACGATACTCTACTTATTTCTTTATTACTTGTGCGAATTGTGCGCTTGCAATAATTTCACAACAGCATTCATGATGAGCTTGCTTTGTTTGTCAATAAATTTAGAAGGGTTGTCAAAGATGATAGGCAGAATGACCAGTCATACAGGGAACTTTGTGAAAAGTATGATATGCTTTTCAATGAAACCTGTAATTTCAAAAAACAGAATCACATGCTGGAACAAAAGGTCAAAAAACTTGATGAATAATTAGTATTTTAATATTTTAATTAATTTCAAAAATTACTTAATATATACTAATTAATTATTTTTTGGAATCTATTAAGTTTTGTATACAAAATTAGTTTGTTTAGTTTAAATTTTGTAATTAAGTAATATCTTAGACTTATATCATTTTGTGGACTTTTTTCATATGCAATTTCAGGATTCCCAACACAGCCTGCTTCTTCACATGTTATCAGAGTCCAGAATATGCGATGAAACTCTTTTCCTACTTAGTCACAATGATAAAGGTTCAACTATTTTAGGGACTATGTTTGAGGAATATGGGTTTGAAGTTTGGCAGGTCTCAACCATAATTTGTAGCCTTACTAATCTCCATGCATAAGCACATGATGCGTACTTTAAATATTGGAATCCTTCAAAATTTGGATTCTTGTTGTTTGAAGTTGGTTATGCTTAGGGTGTTAGAGAAGAACTATTGGTTAAGTGACTCCTTGTTTTGCTTATTCATCCATATATGAATTTGGTTCATCATCTTCATTATCTACTATTATCCTGTTATTATAGGAGTTGCAATTCCTCCTTTTTTTTTTCCGTATATTTAAAGAGTATAGCCGGGGTGGCTATACTCGTTAAATATATTCCGAATATTTTAAACGTAGATCCGCGCTCCATACTTTTAAAATATATTACTCAATAGGCTATATTTGAATTTTTATTGATTTTTTTCTCAACCCTTAAATTATATCTAACGGTAGTTGACCACAAATTCCTTGAACCATCGGATCGAGGAGAACGAGATTAAATTGTTGCCAGAAGCCAAGATTTGTTGTTTGATAAAAATAAAAGATGAAGAAAGACTGAGATTCATAGAATCATATTAACCACTAAAAGAGAAGGAAACCAATTCTAGCAACCGAAAAAGTGAAAGAGCACAAATTAGAAAAACTATTAAGGTCTGCGAAAAAGAAAAAGAAAATCAGATTATGCCTTTGCATTCAACCGACCGTGGGTGGCTTGAGTAACAACATGTCTACATATTTTCATCTGCTATGCCGGAGTTGGAGGTGCTGTGGCGGCGATGGGAGGAAGAACATGGTCATGATTTTCTGCTCTGAATGTGTTTTTATTTGAGTGAACTTTTATTATTTATTTTTTTAACATTTAGTTTTTTATTAAGTTAAATTAATATCTTATGTAGTAAAGTAAAAAAAAATAAAAAATTTACTCTCTTTTTTCAGCCCTTAGATTAGATCAAGGGTGGGTGACCACAAATCTCTTGAACCTAGGGTCCATGAAAACGGGACTGATAAACATATATATAAATTCTTGAAATTCATATACATCACACCTTAAGAAAGCTCACTTCATGAAAGAAACAGATCATTTGGCACATCCAAGTTGATCCAATGTGATATGTCGAACATTAAGTTGAAGTGAAACTTGGTTTTCTCATTCCAAGGCTTGCTTGCTGTTTCTCCATCATGGGTTTTTGAATTCTACTCTGCACAACCCCATTCTTTTTATCAACGCTTTGTTGGAGCCTTTTCGTCATGTTCATAGGCCTTGCTGCCTTCTTCACCTGACTTTGGACGATCTTGGGTTGCTGGGGCTTTTGGGCAGCTGCCACTTTCTCTTTTGTGTTATGCACTTTGACAGCCAAAGACTTTTTATCAACCAGCTTGTTTCTGCTTCCAATCATCCCATCATTTTCTGAAATGAAAACCAAAAATCGAAAAGTAAAACTTACTGTTATCTCATGAGCTACTAAATTTTGGTGTAAGGAAATCAGAAATGAAATTACCAGGGCTAGATAAGACGGCACGGGGACGAAGGATTGAACAAGCTCTAGCATCAGCTGGTTTTGCAGCCTTACCAGGATTTCTGCTGTTCTCTTCTGTCCTTGACAAGTATGTTTAATTTTTCAGATAAATGTGAATGTTAATTGAATGTTTGAGGGTAAACTTTGTTAAGGTTCAATCAAACCTTTGGATGAAGAAATGGAGTGTCCCCGTAGCTTGGAGACATAAGCCTTCTTGGTTATGGCAATTGATGGCGGAGAACAGCTTTGAATCTCCTTCCCTGCAAAAATATATATGTATTTGATATAGAATTTCAAATATTATAAGTTAGATGGAAACAGTTTGTTACTTTGAAATTTTACCAGGGACAGATTCATCAGAGGCATTTGTCAACAGCAATGTCCTGTGATGATTTTGGGGGGAAAAATAATCATCTTGTTCTTGTAGCCTCACCTTCACTTTAGGATACACTTCAAAATCCAAAAGAAGCAAAAGAAAATTACATTATATCACACACAAAACTAAGCTCATGAAAAAAAAACCCGAAAAATTAAAGAACAAAAAAAAAAAATATCTGATAGAATTACTCACTTTGTTGTTTTGTTGTTTGTGCTTCTACAGCCAAAAACAAAGATTGCCCACAAGTAGAATATGAGAATGTTAGAATTAGAGGGTTAACAGAAGGTTTGTTTAGAAAGCAAGAGACAAAAAGCTCAAAAGAAGAAAGGTAGGCATGGAAGAAGCCTCACTTTTTGGAATTTGCTGTCTGTTTTCAAATTTGAATGGCTTTGCCCTTTAAGCTTGGTTTCCTTGGAGAATGGGCATGGAGAGCCTGAAGAAATCTTTGTTGGGTTTTCAAGCATACAGTCAATCAAGTAACATGAGTTGGAGTCCGACACAAGTACATATGAGCGCATGATACCTGATAAACTGAATGATGCCATCTTCATATCTTGACTTGAAAACCAAGCAAGCAGAATTGATTCTTCTGTCACTGAGTGGCAGAATATGTGATGAAACCCTTTTCCTACTTAGTCACAATGATGAAGGTTTAACTATTTTAGGGGCTATGTTTGAAGTTTGGTATGTCTCAACCATAATTTGTAGTCTTACTCATCTTCATGCATAAGCACATGCCCTGTGCTTTAAATATTGGAATCCTCCAAAATTTGGATTCTTGCTGTTTGAAGTTGGTTATGCTTAGGGTGTTAGAGAATAACTATTGGTTAAGTGATCTCTTTGTTTTGCTTATTGATCCACATATGAATTTGGTTCATCTTCTTCATTATCTACCATTCTCCTGTTATTATAGGAGTTGAAATTCCTCCTCTTTTTTATTCGTATATATTTAAAGAGTATAGTCGTACTGCTATACATTCGAAATATATTAAAATTTAAAGGGTATAGCCGCACTGCTATAATCATTAAATATATTTGAATATTTTAATTGTATAGCCGCGTGGCTATACCTGTTAAATATATTAAAATATTTAAATAGTATAGCCAAGCGGCTATATTCGTTAAATATATTCGAATATTTTAATAGTACAGCCGCGCGGCTATACACATGCCATATATTCGAATATTTTAATAGTATAGCCGCGCGGCTATACGCATGACATATATTCGAATATTTTAATAGTATAGCCGCTCGGCTATAACGTTAAAATTTATATATTTGTGCAACCGAGTTGGGTTTAAGTATAGATCAGTTGAGCCCAATTATAAGTTGTGGACAGGCTCAAAGAACTCATGGGCCAACTACAATTCCAAGTCGTAAATAAAAAATCCAACGACATGTTGTTTTGCAGAAGTAAGACTTTCATGACATAGTCCACTCTCCAAACCCTCCTCCTTCCTTCCCCAGTGTAAACTCCCAGTCCATCCATCCACTCCCCAATCCACTCTCTCTCGCTCTCTCCCTCTCTAATGGCGGCTCAAGCTCGAAAAGGCGGCATCTCCCTCCCGGAAAGGCGAAACCCTAAGAAGGAAGACGAAGGCGTGATCGCGAAGCTCTCGCAGTCCCAAGTCGTCGTTCGGGGCAAGCAGGCCGCAAACGACGCCGCATTCGTCACCAAGAAGCTCATGAAGAGCACCGGCAAGGCCGCTTGGATCGCCGGCACCACGTTCCTCATACTGGTTGTGCCATTGATCATCGCCATGGACCGTGAGCAGCAGCTGAACGAGCTCGAGCTCCAGCAGGCCAACATCCTCGGCACCTCAGCTCCGCCTCCTAAGTGATTTGGGCCAGGCCGGGTCGAGTCGGATACACCGGTACCTTCCCCTCTTTCATAACCATTCTGTATCGCTTTGGGTTGAGATTGGTGAACCTTTTTTGGGGAGGGCTTTCTATAATGGTTGCGTAATTTCCTAGGGTTAGTGAGATTCGATTCGGAATTGCAATAATTTCGAGAGTTTTAGTGTTTTCTTTTTGGGAGAATGGAAGTTCAATGAATTACTGAAATGCCTGACGGTGCATTTGTGTGTCTTATTTGGGCATGAACAGGTTTAGAGCTGAATTTGCTTCGATATTAGAAATATTTTTTGCTGGTTGGCTTAGTGTTTACTATTCATAATAATCACTTGTTGTTGTATGTGCTCTGTTTTGTTTAATTCATAGCTTTTAGAAGAATTTTCCCATGTACAAATGTAGTTGTCATGCTTGCAAATATTGGGATTTTTCTTCAGCAAATGTTGTTGTTGAGCACTATGCGTAAGAACCAGTGTTTTTATGCTGTGATTGTCTAAACTTTCATACGCCAAGCATCTTGGTGACGTGTGGCTTCTAATTTTATGGCGGCACTTTAGACTCTTCAGTGCCATGAGACTCTTGTTCTATGTTGGGGTGTTTCATTGGCCTTGGCACAGTTTGCAAATCTAGGGTGTTTCATGGTACAATATAGATAAGCCATATCCTTTTCTGGGCAGCTAGAACTTTGTTTTACGTTGATTCTGATCTGTACCATGCATTTTAAGAGTATATGGCATGGAGGGGGGCATTCTGGGGATGTCTTTCATCAGCCAGCCACCAAATCCTCTCTGGAAATGGTCGAGGGGTCTTTCATTTGGTCAAGATGATGGGCCAACACACACAGGTTTAGAATATATTCTATTAATCGAACCTTATTTATTTTGACTTCTGAGAGCTTCGTAGCATAGTTCTTTTGGTTTTGTCTGGATCAGTGACTATTTATGGGGTGATTGGTCATCGCTTTATTAGAATGTTCAGCGTAGTGCATGGACAATTGCAATTTCTTCTTGGTTTGGAAATACATGGTGAATTGTTTGAATTTGTTTCTTTGACAAACATCTTCACATCTTCTCCTTCCCTGACTTTCAGAAGTCAGCACTTACAGTATAGTAAAATTGTGGTTGTGGGGAGTTCATTAAGGTTCAAAACAATCAGTAGGCACCCCTTCACAGTTTTAAAGGTTTTGTGCTATGCATTATGACCCTTATACCTGTTGAATTCAACATGCTTGATTTTATCATTCGGAGTTGGTGGTATGGTGGCTATATATGGACAGATCTTCTTGTACGGGCCTCTCCATTTTTCAGTTTCAAAACCTTTGTTTGATCGGTAAGTGTAGTTGTAGCTGGTTTGGGTTTGCCAGACAGAATGATGATATGTGAGGGATGAAATATGAAGTGATTGGCTAGTGTACGTGTTCTAGGAGGTCTTGGCTTGCCAGTCAGAATGATGATATGGTGAAATATGAGATAGCAAGTGGTCGTTTAATAGAAGATTGCGAATTTAGGGCTTATTAGAACAGCATGGATGCTTTACTGGCTGTACAGTTTTATGACTGCGGAACTCATTGGTGTGACAGAGCTGGAACTTATGTTGGCATAGTCCAACTTGCGGAATGAAGCAACCCTAGCAGAGAGATAGATGATGATTATTATTTTCAGATGAATGGCCTTTGTTAGCTTAGAGACCAATTTCAAAACTTTCAGTGGGAAAACAATCGGTCTCTACTAGGAAAAACATTAGCTAAGATCTCAACAGTTCAAATGTTGTAGGACCCTCCTAGTTAACGTTGATGGATATGGTCTGCTGCTAACCACCAGCTCCTCTAGATTCTAGACTTGAGCCTTAGGGTGCAGAATAACTTCCCCGTCAAGGCTGTGGTGGACTCCTCTTTTTATCTCGCATCACGTTTCCGTAGGGTGAGAATTCCAGCCGATAAGTAGATTGATTATAACTACGATGTAGTATAACAAAATGGTAATTGTTTTCCAAGCATCCAATCTGGGGATGTTAATCTGAACTACAAAAAAATCTTTATTTCTGAGTATCATCCATTTCAAGAATCCATAAAGAACCCAGTTGCTCATCGTCTTGTCTTCGAATTTGATGGAAGAACGAAAGTGATTTCTCCAACACTCGAATAATCAGAGGAGTTTGTTTGAAAACTACGTACTGTGGGTTACTTGATGAGGTAGCATAATCCTTTTAAACTCCTCTCTCACTGCCAAAATCAAAAGAAAGAATGAAGTGGAGGAATTAGGCTCCATTGTAATCCAATACACAACTCCATTCAAGAATGGACATCCGTCTCTCGTTGAAACTTGGACATCCATATGAAACGGGAGGAACTGCGCTACTACTTCTCCAAGCATTCAGTCTAGGGCTGTAAACCTCAACCTCAAACCTACTTTTTTTGCCTCTGTATTTGCGTGCAAACATCATCACCCTCACAACCTTTCGGCACGATGAAACCCGAACCAGAGAGCAATGATATTGACAGTATAGGTTGTGTCTTGAATGGGAATGGGAGAAAGTGTCTTGATATTTCTGATTGAGGGATTCCATAGATATATAGAATTATGAACATGATCAGAGAAGCAAAGCAATCCATTGTAAGAACCTTTAACAAAATAAAAAAAAGTTGGGCGCATCTAGATTCAGGAACCTTTAAATCCAAGCTTGGGCTGATCTTGTCTTTGGGCTTGCCCAATCTTGGTAGGCCCCACCTCTTGTCCGGCCTGGATATACTTAGTGGGCGTGGGATGGGTTTTGCTATCCCAGGGGGCTTTTTGGCATGGCAAAACCCATAGGTGGAATTACTTTAATGGAACCTATTATTTTGTCTCAATCTATCCTTTGGTGTATCCATACATCGAAGGACGTTATCTTAATATATAATATAATACTTGGAAAGGTGTAAGCTTTTGAATAAAGAAAAAAAGGAAAGAAAAGAATGGCTTTATTTTGAAGTTTGAACTGTCTCTCAAACAAGAGATTTATAAATATTAAATACGTAGGGGTTATTAACCACGTGGATTTCCCCCAATTGAAGCTTGTTTATTTTTAGTCTCTACCACGAAAGTTGAAAGATTACCATGTTTTTATACGAAAATCAAATTATACATTCCAAATTCTGTTTTCATTTTTCACTTGTGTAATTACAAGTGAAAACTGAACCTAACATAACCTCTAAACCTAACATTGTTGGGCCAAAATTCAAGACTTCACTTGAAGTTTTTTAAGTGTCTGTTACATCGTGGTGGACAGTTTTTCTCTAGTTGAATGAAAATTTTAGGGGCCGTTTGATAATCTTTTCATTTTTCATTTTTAGTTTTCATTTTTTGTGCTAAAGTATAAAGGAAAACAAAAGTGAGAATGGAAGTGAGTATGAGATTAAGAGAGAGGATGATGGAATGGAGGAGTAACAAAAGTGAAAACAACAACTTGAAAGTGAAAATAATTTCAAAAACATTTCAGATTTTAGTTTTTATTTTCATTTTTATTACTTCTCCCTCTCATCCTCCCCTCTAATCTTCCTTGTCAATCTCTCATCTCCACTCTCGTTCTCACTTCCATTTTCTCTCTTTTTCCTCTATACTCTAGCACACAAAATAAAAAACTAAAAATTAAAATTGAAATAGTTATTAAACGGACTCTTAATCTCACTTCTTAGATTAACCTCATCATTTAACTTTAAAAATAGTGGTCATTCTATGCCGGAGCTACCAAATTTTCTAATTTCAACCCTCATTCCAAACACAGAGAGACAAGAAAAAAAAGACTATGACCCATTTGATTGCTTAGTTGGGAAGGCTCTAAATATTGTTGCGACCTAATGATACAACGACGAAGTACTTTTGCAACAATGTTGGCTCAGCCAGCCAGCCATCAGCATTAATGGGTAAAGCTAAATGGCAAAGAAAGAAAAAGGGCACGTAGCACTATCGCTTCTTAGATGGACCCCAAATCTGCTTGATAGGCAACTAGGGATTGGAAGATAAAAAGATCAAATGGAGACTAATTGAACCAAATAAACATTTCAACAGCAAGATTCAAGACCAATACATGGCTGTTCTTATTGAAAGCTGCATCATGCCTCTTGTGGGAGAAACACTCTCATGAAACAGAAATAACATTTTTTTGTTATCTTTGATCAATAATGCAATAATATGTGGTTTAACTTTTCCACGTATTATTAGCCGAGGATAGCATAACCCTAATTTTTGTTACCTTTGGTCAATAATGCAACGATATGTGGACTAACTTTACACGTATTATTGGCCCACAATCCTAATCATGCAATGCGTGTTTTAATAAGTGTGGTTAAGGAAACTGACCAATAAATGCTTCCCACCTCACCATCAAACTTATATTTTTTTAAAATTTGAATTGCCATTAGTTCATAATCATCCAAAGGGCCAAAATAGAATAGGAAGAAAGTAAGATCCATGCCAAACTTCTTTTCCTCAATGATTGATGCAAAAACAACAAAGAAGAGAATGAAATCAAAAGCTAAAAAGTATAATATTGAGGATCCATATGCGGGCAAGTACATAAAACAAAACTCCAACAAAAGTTTGTGTGTATTTGAGTAAGTGCATACTAACTTTCTTTCTGATCAGATCAAAAGTTGATCCCTAAATCTCAATACAACCCATCTGAAAAAGCAGTTCAATCTTCAAAACCCATCTCATGCCCTCAATAATCTGCACTAAATCATTGGCCTTCTCTCCACTATAGTAGCTGTACAAAATGTTTACTTGTCTTGATTGAGAAGCATTCAAATCTTCAATAGTAATAATCTCCATGCTTACCACTGTGTTTCTTCATGAGCTGCCGAACAAACATCAAGCAAACCACTAAAAACCCAAAAGCTGCCAATCCTCCCACTGCAATAGCTACTGTCCTCTGTGTATGATGCCTAGACCCTACAGTCCCTACACACATTAAGCACATCACAGGTGTCAGATTTTTGATTTGATACACAAATCTTTAGTCTTGAAGTTGAAACTAAAAACTATCTAGTGAGTGTCGGATAAAAAAAAAAGAAAGATGAAGAAAAAGTAAGTGATAGAATTACTCATGACAGATGGAAACTTGAAAACTTATGTGTCAAGGTCCAGCACCGTACAACTGTCTATCTCTCTCTCTCTCTCCCTCTTTTTCATTCTTCGTCATACCAATTTATTATGATCTCCAAGAGAAATAAATAAATCAAAGAGAACCCACATCATATTTGACCAAAAGGATTGCTTTAAGATACACTTATAAAAATCAAGCAGTGCCCGGCCAAAGACAACTAGGTATTAAATATTAAAAAGAAATTGCATAATAAAACAAAGTCCTAAAGTATAAACCCTTGTAGATAAAAACAAAACAAAAATGCATCTGAAAAAAATCAGTGTCTTCTATCTGAGTTTACCTGATGATGAAGTTATGCTTGGAACACCATTAGGGTAATAGCTGTAGTTAATATAGCACTTTTGAAGATATATCTGCCCAGAAATTGAATCACCACACTCAGTCTTAGCCTTCTGATCAGCACTTTTCACACAATCCCCACAATCCCCAGTGCCCAAATCACCTTCACACTGCCCCAAAACGTACACAGACTGATATGTCCCAGCATAAAACAACCCACCAGTTCCATTCTTCATCCCATTCTCCACCATAGCAAAAGCCGAGTCTCTCTTCCCCTCAAACCCACTGCTTCCACTTGCCTGATCTGACTTACAGATCTTGAACAAAAGCTCTGTTCCAGAAACCTGCTTGAACCCAGCAATCTCATAGCGCAAGTAACACCCACTGAGCTGAACTCTAGCTGCTACGACTTCTCCACAGAATTTGCTGGCCAAAGTTGGGATCTTTTTCACACAGCTGTTACACTGGGAGGTGGTGAGGTCTCCCCTGCATTGATACAGGCCTGAGATGGCATTTTGGCCTTCACCAGAAGTGGTTGAAAAGAAAGTCTTTTGTGAAGATTGTGAGACCAGAGAATCGAAGAGGGATTTGAGGGCTTGTGAAGAACTTGGGTCCTGGAACTTTTGGCTTGCACAGCCCTTGTAAACCAAGTTTGTGAAATCAGCAGAAGTGATGGCAAAGGGAAAGGAAGCAAAAACTGTGTAGAAAAGCAGAGCAGAGCACATGAAAGGAGATAGCTTGGTGGGCAAACCCATTTTTTGAGATGGGAGATTTGATCACACCGTGAAAGGTTTTAGAGGGGGTTTGGAAACTTTTGGAGGAAGTTGCTCTCGGAGTTCTCCAGAGAGCGGTTTTGGTTGAAAATAAGGGAGCTTGGTTTTGCTATAAAGGGTCCTGGGTGTTTCTTGTGGGGGGTTTTGGACCTTTTGGGCCGGTTTTGTTTTTGTAGCTTTTATTACTGATCATGCAGCACAAAATTTAGGGAAATTGGCGGCTTTACCCCCGGCGCAGCTAATTTATTCAATATTACCCCCATTTTGAAACTCCATCACAAATACCCCCTATAAAAACTCCATATTGACAGCTTATTGTGTTTTTTTTTCCACAGTCCTTACGCTTTCTCTTCCTCTTCTTCCTTCTGCCAAACCTCACAAAATCCACCTCCACCACCATAGAATCTCCCCTAACTTTATCTCCTCTTAGTTATATCTAGGATTAAAGCTTGAAAGTATTGGGTATCTTGGTTTGTCACTATTTGACTAAATGAATTTGACGGTAAACTTCACGAATAATGTTTACTTATTTGGAATGAAGAAGTCTATTTAAACATGTGTTTAGCCATGTTCGGACCTTCATTTCCTTGTAAGTATGGAGAATATATATCCGAAAAATCTAAGCTTTAGGGGATCAACAATGGGAAATTTCCTAACCCTTTTTAATTTCGGTGCTTCCTAACCCTTTTCCCTTGTTCTTAGCTTTTAATTTTGAACTGATTTTATTCTGCTGCAAAATCTGGAATTGGAGTACTTTTTGACCAGTGGTTCTGAATATTAGCTGGACATTTTGACTGCAATTAGTAACGCTTTGCTGTCACATACCATGCATGCCGTGTGTGTTTAGCAGTTGCAGCCAAAAAAAAAAAGAACCATTCACAAAGAAGATATAATTATGGGGATTAAGTTTAGTCTTCAAAGTGGACTTTGGGCAAGCAGCAAAATTATCGTGCCTTCATTTTTGCTTCAGCAAATTTGACTTAGAATTAGAATAGAGGCTCAAAATAGTTGCTGACAACTAACAAGAGAAAATAAACATCTACTATCTGATTGAGATAAAGCACTCTTGTATTTAAGAAAGATTTGATTTTTAAGCATAATTAAGCTTATTTGATTGACGTTTAAACATTAAATTTACCTTCGACTTTTCGATACACGAAATATATCAGTATTTCAACTTGAGGTTGGTTCAAATTGTACAGAAAGTATAACAAGTCATTAGAAGGTATAGGTCTCAAAGCACTGTATCAAAGAAGTTTGCTCTGAGAGACTGAGGGTCAAAGAAGTTTTTGGTTACTATTTTATACACCTTTTGTGTGTATATATATAGGGTTTACAGTACAGGAGGTACCTTGTTGGAGAAGATATTTCTTTGCCTTGCAGAGCGAGTTGGCTTTATTAATTTTTTTTTTTGTGGCTCTGAACTTCTGACTTCAACCAATTAACCCAAAAAGGAAAATTGGGTATGCCACCTTTCATTTTATTGTCAATTTGCTGCTGTGATTTTCAAGAAGTTGAAAGATTTAGTAAAAATTAGAAACTCAAGCCTTAACATATGGGATGAAAACCTAAAGCTCTTGAGCCAGATGAGCCTCTTTGCTCTGAAGAGAGGGTTCCTAGAACTACAAGAGGTAGAGAACTGCGGCAGGGCAACTTACAGAGAGATTTATGACTTTGGCTATGCAAGCTAAAACTTGTGTTTGGGGCATTCCTCCAGCACTTGGCTTGGTTCAATTGAGGATGGTTATTAGTGGGGCGTGGATCAAAAGTTAATTTCTAAGATTAAAATGGTTGTTGCACTTAAATTAAGTAACTATTTGAGATAGATTTTGTATGCGTAAACTTCGCTTCTTAGTATACTACGAGAATGTTATCATTAATAGAATTTCTCTAAAATTAAATGTTCATTTTAATCAGAGATGTATTAAAGAAGCGTGGATCAAAGGTTCATTTCTAAGATTAAAAAGGCAATTGTGCATAAATCAAATGACCATATAAGAAAGATTTCGTAAGCAACAATATTTTTGTGCTTTCATCCGGGAGTGCATATTACAATTATCGTTAATAAAACTAGTTCCTTTTATAGATTACATGTTTAATTTAGCTAACCTTCTGTTCTATACATCCTGTGTTTGTTTTTAATCAAACTGAGAAGCTGTTCGAGTCCACCATCTAAAATTATACAAAAGAGCCAAAACGTTACAAAGGTGAAGTTTTGATTCTTCACCCTCCAGGCGCATGATAGCATAGCACTAATCCAAGTTTTTCAATTGTCAACCAAATATCCCAGACGATAGAGTACTCGCCCTTAACTGATGACAAGTGGCTCTCGCAGTGAATCACTTTACTAGATTAAAGAACAACCCCAGTGACAGAGTAATATGTAAAACGAAAGCAATTTCCATTCTTCTAAAACCCTATTTACTCCAAAAAGAAAAGAACACTCTCAGTCTCTCACTGTCGCTCTCTCAATTTCTTCGAAATGCTGGTAAGCTCATCACCCTCACTTCCAATTTTTGTTTTCTGAAAGCAATTTCGATCCTTTGACCTCTCATTTTTCCAATTTTCTCAAAATTTTTCGGTTTTTTTTTTCCCGAAAATGTTTTCAAGTTTTGTGTTCTGGGTTTTTATTTCCACGAATTTCTTGGTACATTGGTTTAGATTGTTTTTTTGTTAATTTGTTTTGAGAGCATATTTCTGAAACTTCTGTTTCATCTTTTTTCTTTTTATTTTTCGGTCGTTTGGTTCTTGGGAAAATTGTAGGCGAAATAAACTAGGAGAAGGCTCTTCTAGTTTCTCACTCTTTTTTGTTTATGGGTAATTTTCAGGTCTTGGTAGCTTGAATCGAGCTCCAAGGGTTTTTCGAGGTAAGACTTGTGTTGATAATAGTGCTATGTTTTGCATGCATGTATATGCATGTATATTTGGGGCTTCAAGTTCTTTCTCTTCCACTGTGTTGAGACTTGAGAGAGAGAGAGAGAGAGAGTCCAGTTCTCCATCGTTTTGATCTGAAGCTTTTCCAGTAGAAACATGCTATTCCTCCTTACACTTCAAATTGGTTTTTTGTTTATGCTGGGCAGGCTGGGAAATGGGAAATAAATAAAATTGATATTTGTCCCACTAGGACACGATTAGTTGAATCTGTTATCGTTTTGTCTGGATTTCCAAAAAACTGTTGCTTGTGCAGTGTTAAGGATGTTGGAACATCCAATTGTTTTTCAGTGAGACAGTGCATGCTCTAGTACTCTTATGTTGACTGTATTTTAGTTACAAGGTTTCGATGGTTGTAGCCTTTTAATTTTATAATGGACTCGCATATCTACTTCTTTAGACTCCTATTGGGCATCTTCTCTGAGAAATTTTGGAATATGTAGGTACAGTTTGGCACTGGGCGGCTCATAATCAGAATAAGGGGTAAGCGGACAGTGATGGCGCAAAAACCAAAAGTTCAGGCAGCCCTTAAAGCAATGGCAGAGCTTGGTATTAATGAAAAACAGGTCAAACCAGTGTTGAAGAGACTTTTTAAGTTATTTGACAAAAACTGGGAACTGATCGAAGCAGAGAATTATAGAGTGCTTATAGATGCTATATTTGATGAGGAGGAAAATGAGGTGCACTTTTATATTTTTTCCAGGCATTCTTTATTCCATTTCTTCTTCTTCTTCTCTCTCTCTCTCTCTCTCTCTCCTTCCTTTACTTATGCCTGCTTGATTTTGATTTCTTCTGTTAGGTTGTGGAAGAGAAGAAGAATTGCAAGAACTATGATGTATATAATTTAAATTCCCTTGGTTCTGGTGCTCTGATTTCTTGTTTTTTTTTTCTCACACTTGTGGCTATAGTTTCTGACATATCTATGGCCTATTACTTATCAGGAGGAAGATATGGAGGAAGAACCTCAGGTGCATCATGAAGCTAGTCGTACCTCAAAAAGGTTACATTCAAGCGGTCATGAGAGTTCATCACAGAAGAAGAAATCTACAAATGCTGATGTCTGTACACTTGACTCCCTTGCTTGTGTTTATTGCATTCTCACCCTTCTACCTATATCTGTTAACGTGCCTTTTGGCCTATTGTCTATAGCTGGAGAGTGATATGGAGGAAGAATTGCCGCTGCCTCATCAGCGGGAACGTCCCCTTAAAAGGTTGCGAAAAAGTCATGAGGGTCAGGTTTCACCATTCCCAAATTCCTGCAACCCTATGTTGGGTGATACTTCATCAGTACGACCAAAAGTTGAGAAAGATGGGCTACTTGGTACTCGTTCTCCCCAGCAGCTACGGGACATTACACGGTCACCTGAGTCAAGGGCAGAATTGCAGCAACCAATTTCACCCCATATTGGTAATAAAAACAAAGGCAAGCAACCTGTAATGTCTAAACCCTTGGCACCTCACGGAGTACGCTTTAAGGAGCTGGTGGTGGCGGAACCAGGCATCATTCTTTTGCCTAAACAGAATGTTAACACTCATCAATTACTGAAGCCTAAAGATGAGCCCTTCACTGATGACATGGCACAAGATGAGGTTCCTATTGCAGCCATTCTACCTGGTACATCTTTGTTTGCCTTATACTATGCTATCATTGATATCCCAGCAGATGGATAGTTGGAACCAGGAAAATCTGCTTTAACTGTGAATGGAATATAACTAAGATCGACATTTATTAGCATCAAAGGCATAGTACTATCTATGGACTAAAATTCTTTTGGATATTATTATTACCTTCAATAATCTTCTCGTAGAATGATTGTTGTTTTGTTCTTCTGCAGGTCCCTCAAGTGAAGAAAACCCTATACTCCAAGATGGTGCAACCGTGGAACAGAATGATCAAGAACATGTGGCATCCCAAGAGAAAGAAAGTACAACAAATGGTATTCAAGCTTCATATAATGAGGGGAATACAAACTCTGAGCTTGCAACCATTGAAGAGGAATCTCCTTCTAACTTAGAAGTTGCCTCTTCACCCTTAGGAGAGGTAAAGCTTTCTTTCAGTTGTAATTCAGCTATTGGAAGACCAGATTTTCATATGCCTAATCTAGATGCCGTTATAAAAATGACGGAGGAAAAATGTCTGCACTCATACAAAATTATTGACCCAAACTTTTCTCTAAAGAATCTGTTGGCGCATATGTGTGAGAGCTTTTTGGAATTGGGATCTAATTCCAATAGTGAATCACAGGATGGATCAATTAG